TTCTCATGTTTCTCATTTCTGGCTGGCTTCTCTTCTGCCTGTTGTACAGTGCTGGAGTTTGTTCACAAGAGATTCTTTTCTGGTCAATTACTTCCAAAAAATAAATGTATCCATATTTTTTTCTATGTGTCATCACTGAATGTGCTCGTAACCATAAAGAATTCAGACATCCTCTGACAGTTGTGTATAGTGAGAACAATAAACGTGACTATGACTTTTTTGAATTGCTAGTAGTAAAATTTCATCCATTTCACAAACTTCCTGTCTTGTAAATTGCAGAAAAAAAATACTCCGTTGTGATAGCATAGTAGACAGCTATTTATATGTTTCTCCTTTTCTCCATTATTCTTTACTCACTCTGGCCAGCTATGGCATGAAACCACATAAGAAAGGAGGAGGGAGATAGTCCCTTTGGCAATGGAAGAGACAGAAGAAGGCAAGAAGTGATCAGAGCACATAAATGTATCAGAAGTCACAAAGTTTGTCCTGCTTATTTTTCTTCTCTCCCATTTTGTCAAAGAGCTGTAAGTACAAGAACCTTAGTGGTCATCTTTAACTGAGTTCACAATTAAAAAGACTGGTATGTGACAGCTGGGAAGATTTACGAGGTTTATGAAATTTAAGGTGCAATTACTTTCAAAGATAATGATAGGTCAAATTTATAACATCCCTCACTTTAATCTGTATAGGCCTAGGAAACAGACAATATAGGTTCTAAATCCAGCCCTCTAACAGACCTCCAACATGATGGTGATCAAGTCACTCATCCTCTTCAGGCAAAACCCTGACTTCATTGAGTCACTGAGGCCAGAATTTCACTTCTTGTATTTCACATGGAGAGAAGCAGTGATCGAATGCACTTCTCACCTGATGAGAAATACTGCAAACTGCCCAGAAAATTAAAATGTATTATGGAACAGCAAAACTGTGTTGGCTAAAAACACACAAGACTATTTAGAGAGGAAAATCTGATAAGATTCTTCTTCATTCCTCACAGTTACTCTTCCTGTTCAGAGTCTGCTGTGCCTGTGAGTTCTTCACCATTATGTGCCGGATTCCAATAGGACACACTGCTGAAAACTGTAGTTCTATTATTTATCTTAATTCAGTGACCTCCACAACAGAAGAGATAAGCAACTCATACACCCTCTCTGGTTTTAATCATCTTGGGAATCAATTTGTTACGTAGAATCTTCTATCCATTCACTCTACAGCAGTTTCTTTGAAAAAAAAATTTAGCATTTGCAGATACCAGGATCCAGCTCATTTAGCAATAGTTCATTTCCTTCTGCTCCATGTTATACATGGAAAGGCTCAAAGGAGAAATGCTGTCAACACCTGTGCGTACCTCCTTCTCTTGAGAGAGACTTCCAGGATCCATAGCAGAAAACAAAAGTTGATACTTACAAATCTGATTCCTGACAGCCAACAATTTAAAAGTGATATATACAAACCAGCAAGAAATAAGACTCCTGCTTATTGCTGCTTTCACTTGAGTTCTTTGTAACTGTAGTAGTTTGCAGTTGACACTAGGAAATTTTACCTACTGTCTTTCACACCATTTTTCCAATTTGTCAGATTAAATTTTAAATTTAATGATGTCCTCCAAATTGTTCACAAGACAGCATGAGATGTTCTGCTATGATTAAGACATTAATTTAAGACATTAAACTTAACATCAGGACATTACACATAATATGTCTTTCTAATTGAGCCTTGCACTTAACTAAGAAGAACAGGTTTTGGCCAGCTCTGGAAGGATGAGCCTGAAGGAGTGTTTCTCCATGTTGCAGTTGCTGCAAATATCAAATTTTTTCTCACAAAAAGTTTATGGTTAAAATCTTGTGTTATTGTTGTTTGTTTTTTTTTCCTCAGAGTCTTGTATTCAGACCAGAGACTAGACTGATTAGTTCTGACACTGACCTAACTGGGTAATTTTTTTGAGATATTCATTAGGGACTTGAAGATTTCCTCCCTGCTTTGCACTTTTGGCTTCAAATGTACAACTCTGTCCAAAATATTATTTTTATACTCACTGAATATGACTTCTAAATAATCAGTTAACTGCCAAACAGTGATAGCTCCTAATAGCCCAGCCCAACGATGCCTATCTAAAAAGACTCTTCAGGTGCATTCATCTTCTGTGCATGGAATCAAGGGTAAATTCCAAAACACCACAACTTCCCCTATGAACAAATAAGATAGCTATCCCCTACCCATCTGAACTCTGAGAGGCAGAGCTTGCCCACACCTCGTTGCATTCCAGTGGCACACCTACACCAGTTTCACTAAGCCCTCACTATGAATCATAGGCACAACTGGCACCTCTCATCCTACAAGAGAAGCAGTATAGCCCAACCCGAGCACTTACCCCCACTCTAATCGACCATTTCAATAGTTGTGTGATTTGTCACTGGAACTTGGCATAATATCCAGAGTGCATCATCTGACATCAGTTATTTTTCCACATTGGCAGCCAAATGGATACTCATGTGTATACTGAGAGGAAAGAAGGGAGGGAGTCAGGCTTCAAAGAGTTAATTTAAAGCAGCTTCTTCGCCGAAGTTGTCTGTGTTATCAATCTTCCTTTAGTTTTCTAAGTAGCCTTTTAATCTCTGCATTTCTACTCAAAGATCAAAGTCTTCCTATTTCTTAAACAGCTAACCTTACATTATGGTTAATCCATGAAGCGCCAGGTTTTGTAAGAGAGCCATATGTGGAACAATCTGCAGGTCTTGGGCAGATACCCAAAATTACGACATCTCTGAGGAAGGCTGAGCTGACTTTGTGGTTGAACTGACTTCGGGGAAGCTAGGAAAGGTGTCAGGGCAAGCAGGAAAATTTAGCCACTTGTTAAAATGGGCTTGAACAGGGTTTCATGTGGCATGTCAGGATGTTTAAATTGTGTCAAGATGACTGCACAGGAGGAAGTACTTTTTTAAGTTTAGCACAGAAACACCTCTCTCCAAAGTCGTTTGCTTACAGAAGAAAAGGATATACAGCAAAGAGCAGAGATCTCAGGTTGGGGGAGGGTAAATTCACAAATCTGCCTTATTTCAAAAAGCATGAAAACTGTACATTTTCTGCACTTGAACTGTTCATACTCATTGTATGAGTAATCTTTGCACAGATGTTTCAGAAATACTTTTAGACTGGGTAGGATATGAGTGCAAAAGAATAAAGCTTTTAGCTTGTTTGCTGACCAGAAAAAGGAAAAGCTAAATTCGTCTGTTGATGATTTAACCCAATCAAATACTGGGTTAAATAATATTTAAAGTGTATTCAGTGTTCCTAGTGAAAAGTGTTAGTCCAAAACACACCATACATTAACAATTAATACCAAAACTAATATAGGAAACCTTTTAGCATGTGGATAACAAACTGTTAAGCCACTGCTGTATCAGATGTAATCTAGAAGCCCTCTTTCTGCATCATTAAGGCACTGTGCAGAGATTTCTGTCGCTCTTGTTTGGTCTTACACAGGGTTTTACCTAAGTGATACAGTAAGCAGACAGCACCTGGAGAAAAGCTGGCAGCGGTGCTGGCTGCAGCTCCTAGAAATTGTAGGAAACTTCACCTGCCAGTGCTATTGCTGTGCACAGTTCAGAAGTGTTGTGATTCGAGAGTAAAGGACTGAGCTATTAGGTTTAGCATTTTGTTAATAGCATTTTCAATGCCTTGGGCTTTTCCTGGAATTCACCAGAGTTAAGCCAGCAAGAAGCTCTTGGTGTATTGCATGCTTTCTCATAGTACTTTGAGGGAAAACCACCTGAACCTAGAAAACAAGAAAATAAAATTTTACTCCTACATGTTATTTTAGGGTATGTTCCAGATCTAATGAATTTCGTGGAAAGACTTTGACTTTCTTTAAAATAAAAATTCAAATTTTTAAAACATGTTTGTAATAACAACAGATCAATTAAAAAAATAGGAAAAACAAAGCTCTTGATTGATTTCAGCAGAGGGAACCACCGTAAGATCCTTTATAATCTCCCTCCATGTTTATTCATAAAGTATGTCACAGTGGGAACATGGTAGATGACTTCCAAATTTAAGCTGGTTAGGGATCCTTCAAGGTGTTCCTGGTTGTTATCTGTACAATCTCATGAAAACAGATGATGTAGTATCAATAGTAATGTAATTATCAGTTAATAGATTACTATTGAATTGTCAGGATATCAGGTTATATTCTTCTCGAGAGATAACTTAAACTGTATTGTGCAAGAATTTTTCCAATGAAAACTAAAAACATGTAATCTCTATTCCCAAACTGAAAGAGAAAAATCCTACAAATGCAGCAACTTTATAGTACACTCAAGACATACAGAGATTGGACAAGTAGTGCACAAGGCATAGATGATCAATACAATAGCCTAAGTAATTATAAGAAGCTGTCTTCCCCATTGTTTCTTTCAAATGTACAATCAGAAGCATATTTTTCCTGGCTTTCTCCCTTTTCTCTTTCTTCATCTTTTTCTCCTCTTTTCTGTTTTATCACTGAAAAAAAAGGTGCTGAAAAGAGAATAGGAGGAGAAGAGTACTGGAAATAGTTATTTTAGTGCAAAAAAAAAAAGGTTAAAAAAATTGCAGCATTTTCAGAGCATCATTTTCCAGGAATCAGTGTTCTAGGCACAGGTGTGTCACTGGGCAGGCTTAGCAGCCAGAGGATTCTGAGACCCTTGGAGAAGCAGTGTTATGTAAGTCACTAAGAGAAAGGATACCTTGATACATGTTCTTCTACACATCTCATCTGGTTAAATAAAGATCCTATGTCTTATAGCCAACAGACAGGATAAAAAGAAAAAAGTTTAAAGAAACATGCCTGTAACTTTAAGAAGCTGTTGCCTTCCTCATGGAACATCATAACTGATGAAGCAATTAAGTTTGAAACATTTAAAAATACTTTTGGTCAAATGCATTTGTGCTAAATGACTTCACTCTGACAAAGATCTATTCCTACTCGTAAAGACAGTACTCATCTGTACTTCATTTTCTAACAGGCCTTTTCAAGAAATGCTTCATACTGCAGAGCACAAGATGATGAATATCGCTTAGAAGTTACGACTCCCTTGCAGAGGGTTGACTTGTTCATGGGCCAGTTCAACAGTGTCCTCTTAACTTCAATATCTGTCTTCACCAAAGGGAACCTTACTGTTGCTAATCTGGGAACTTCAGAGGGCCGCTTCATGCAGGTAAATATGTTACACCTTCACAATAAAAATACATACTAGAGTTCAGCAGGATGGTGGTAAGTGAGGAGCAGTATTAGCCCAGTTTAACAGGGTATTAGAAAATTGAAATTGAAACAGCTTCTGGAATATAAACAAAGTGCCTAATAGAACACTGATTTTAAGTATTTATATGGGCTTTGTGGCTTGAAACATGGTTTTGGAGCAAATTCTACCATGATCTCCACTGAGTCCAGCTGGTTCAGTTCACAGAGCAGTTTTGGTCCATACAAACCAGATTTCTTTCAAAGGAAACTAAACTAAAAGCTCTGTCTTGGATACGCATAAAATACACTACAACCCTAGATGGGGCAGAACAGTGCCTGATTCTTCAAACAGCTTCAGATATACACTTCATATGGTCATTTAGTCTAGAGGATCAAATTAAATCTAGTTCAGTGTAAAATGCTAAGACGGCTTATAATGTAGAAGCAGGAGCCTCAGCATTACTTGCTTCTATGTACTCATCTACTCCTCTGGCACCAAATTAGTTGCTAATGTACCCATAGCCTGTGACTCAGATCTGTAGAATTGAGATTTGTGACTCTTCTACCTACTTTCAAGTTTCTCTAAGTGTGTCTTAGATTTTCAGGCCTCTGCTCATTCCTGTAAGTAGGGTTACCTACTGTCCCCAGTATATGCACCCTTTCTGGACAAAGGGTGTCGTACACCTCCATCTCTATCTCCTGTACAGACAGGACACAGAACCTGCCCCATAATGCAAATCCATAATGCTCCTGCAGGGAAGGAGGTCAAGTGATTTACCGTAAAGGACAGATGAAGAACTGGAGAAAATAATAATTCTTTTTTCCCCTAAAAGATAAGAATTTAATAAAATGTTCAGTGACAACCATGCCAATTTTACCTGAACTTCCCGTTCAGTTATGACTACCATAACTTTAATCTGCAGTTCATCTTCAGTGGAGGAAAGCCAAATGCTCAAATCTACATACTGAACACAGGACCAGCCTATGCTCTGTTCTTAAATATAGATAACTGGCTCATACAGCAAACACAAGCAATTTGTTTAACCTTTATGAAGCCACTTCCTTATCTACAAAATACAGTTAATAACTACTGTCTTACAGCATTTCTTCTCGGCTGTCACAAAACTTTTAGGGAGGTTTGGTGGAGAGCATAAGGCAGCATTATGCATCATTGTTTTTATCTGTAGCATTCTCTAAATTATTCATTCAAATCCTGCACCACACACTTCATTCAGATATTTGCCTAACTCAAGGAACAATTAAAATATTTCCAGAATACATTTCCCATTCCAGGTTCAGTTACAGATCAAAAGAAAGGCTGTTGTGTAAACTGCATACTGCCATTAGCAGAAGTATTCTCATCATTGAAATAGATTAGCTTGAGCTACAGGGGGAAGTCAGCATTGGGCTCATATTGTAATAAGTAGGAGCTCGCTCTTTGAGGGTTTGGTGAAGCCAGCAGGAGAATAAGCATAATGACTACCTTTGATGAGGCTACTTCCAAATAAAAAGGTTAATACTTGTTTTGCCTTTAAATGATCTTGGAAATGCTACAGGTCTATAGCATACAGAAGGCACAGCTTTTTTTCAGAACTCAATGTTCACTTACATTAAATCTTTTCTTTTTTTTTCACTAATAGTTATCTAGGAAATGCTTTCAAACATGTTCATTAACAAATGCCCAACTAAAGCAGATTTGCAGTGTTTCTATGGAAATATAGCTATTAACTGCAATGAGATGGAGATCATTAAGAACTGAGCTATTAAACAACCATTACTGAAGTATAATGGGTTAAAAAAAATCAGGATAATCTAACAGTGACTTAATTTATCAAAAAGATATCCCCAAACACTTCCTCACGTTTTCGGCAAAGAAACGTAATGATGTTCTTTTTTGTTTCATTCACAAATCTGCTGGAGCATATTGCAAAGAAGCCTCAGGTTTTCCCTTTTCACGCACCTCACTTTTGCACAGTCATTTGCACTCATATTTTCAGCTGTTTATACATGCAAATAATACATTTTCCAGTGCAGTCTCCTTGTAACTTGCACCTCTTCAGAGTTAACTATATCTCTTCAGATAGGTGTGCTTTCAGAGAACACTAGCTGCAAAATTCTATCAGGGAACCTGTTTTAAAACTGGTTATACTGTATTAACATCTTGCGAACAATTTTTCATGCCAACTATTTGAAAGCAAATGAAAAAAGTATTCATATATAGGTTTCTAAAATTAGAAAATAAGCCCAGCCCTTCCAGTGAATTCAGTTTATCTTGTATCCTCTTTGAAATACCAAACCTCGCCATATTTAGACAATTTAGCTTGTGACATCAATTTCAGCATTAGCAGTCATCCATGAGATTAGAAGAAATAGTAGTACAGTAGCTCTGTCTCTGACAACTGCACCCTGAAGTGCCCAAATATGAAGCAGCTTGGTGAAAGTAATGAACATTTAATTCACATTTTTGCTGTCTTAATTTAGGGTTTCCTTTAATTGTTATGAAACACTGGGGGGGGGGAGACATTTAAAACATAGTGGTCATGTCACCAAAATTGAACTGAAGCTCTGAGCCGGTGCTGTAGCAGCCAGTGGATGCAGCAGCAAGCTACTGCTACTGGACCTGGAGAAATCTATTTGAAAACGTTTCTCATATTCTTGCTTATACATGATTACCAGCCAACCACTTGATTCTCCTTCTTCTCTTTCCCTTTTCTTGCCATCCTTCCATCTCCTTTTGCATTTCTTCTGTTCATCACTTTCTGCCTTCCTACTGCCCCCTGATCTGTCTCTATTTCCATCTCCATCCGTTTTTCTCTCTTTACCACATGACTATAGCATAGCATTGCTGCAAAAGTCAACAGAAGGTTTAGCATGTAGTTTATGAGAACAGAGGTTTTCTTTCTATAGATGACAGCTACCTGATTCTGGAATTTTGAAGTATTTAGAGACATATTACAGTTAATTATTCCTATCTTTACGAGTATTTCCACTGAAACTTAGGGCATTAGCCATCAAAACTGTGCTAAAGGTCCAGCTCAGACTATAACCTATATTCCACTTATTTTAAAGAAGTAATCTGAGGAGCCAGTAATATTCAGAATGCAAAAGCAGGTATGTTTTTAGTCACCTGTTGTTTTCTTCTTGCACTTTTAGTTCGATTGAATAGAATTATTCACTTAAACAGCTCTGGAAAGCACTAATACTGGAAAGGAAATACAACCTCCTTCACTAAATGTTTGTTTTTTTTCATCCCAAATCTAAAACTAAAATAAAATCAATGTGGATGGTCCAAATACAGAAGATTCATGAGTTCTTTTAAGGAGGATAATTGGGGCCAGGAGGTGAATTCCAAAGCTCTCCTGGAGAGTAATTGCAGCCCATTGACATACTGAGCATATTTTGGCTCCATCAGAAATGTTAAATCTGTATTTGGCCATGGATAGATTGGAGTATGTAGTTTACCAAATATTGTGTAGTTTCTGTTACAAAACAGAGCAGTAATATTTTTTCTAAGACAGCTGACATGCGTGAGACAGAAAAGAAAAATGGTTTTACTTCCTTCCTAAGCTGGAGCCTGACAACAAGCTTGCTCCCCCCCCCCTTTTTTTTCTGTTGAGAAGTTGCAGCTGTTTCAGCCTTTCTTATTGTGCTTGTTTTCAGAGTGTGACTGGGAACACAGACTGAACGTACAGCTGTTGGGTGCAAAGTGAATCAGGTATTTCACAGTGGTTATTTGATTAGAAAACAGCACCCAGTCACACTGTTATAGTTGACGAATCAGATTTTCAGCTGGTGTAGAGCAGCCTTGCTCTGCTCAAGCCAAAGGAGCCGTGCTGTGAATACAACTCACAACTGCAAAAGACACTTTCAGTACCAGGCAGAATTTGGTGAAATTATGGTTTGTAAAATAAAACCCCCCATGATACATTGAGATAAAGTATCTTCTGGTTTTGCTCAGTGCCAGTGTGATTTCCCAACCCCCAACCCCCGTCTGAAGCTTGGTATTATTTCAGAGAGTGACTTTTGAGTTATGAAGAAAAGAGCAAAGTTCTTCAGGAAGGGGAAATCTTTCTGATAGCTCTGGGGAGAGTGGGATATGGGAAAGTTTTGCAGGATTTATTCTGAAAAGCTCACATTTGGTCTGGCCTTAATGAACAAGAGATCGATGCCCTTCACATGTGCAGAAGCTGGTTTTCAGCATAACGCTGTGCCTGGAAGCAGAACACTGCATGTGCTCCCTATGCTTGAAGGTAAAGGCCAAGCAAATGCACTGCTTGTTGGTGCAAGCAGAGCACCTACTTCTCTATCCTCCTCATAGAGAACTTTCCACTCTGCGTTTTACAGCTACTGTGGGCAACCACTCTCTTTGGATGCAATTCTGACAGCAGGGCCATCCCATCCTTTTGACTATACCAGTGAAACTCAGTGCACAGTGGGGCAGCACTAGGCCGCATGTGGAGTGAGGAGTTCCCCCATGTGCCCTCTCATCTTCATGGGTCAGTAGGACAGCCATCAGTTGCTTCTGGAAGTAAGGAAAGGGTTTTCCCATGGGCATACATACTCCGTGAGATGCCGTCAGCCACATTCTGGCGGCAGTCGTGTCCAATCTAGCTGGATATGAGCCAGCTCTGGCTGTGAAGCCAAGTGTTAGCAAAACATGGTAATGCACTGTCATGTCTCAACAGATTCTGGACTGAAAATGGCTTAGGGCACGAGAACCAAAGCATGATGGCACAGACAGGCCTTGCTGGAGTAGAGCATGTCACGCAGCAGGCTACTTGCCCTCCTCAGGGCCTCTCTGCACTTGTTAGACATGAAACAATAGAGAATCATAAGCCTTATTCTAGGAAGCAATTATATTCCTTTTTTTTTTTTTTTTAAGCCAGATTTTTAGCTGAGAAAGGATGTATGGGGTTAGAATAAAGGTTCAAGGAGCAGTTATTCCTTTCTCTGTCAGGGGCTAGGATGGGTAAAGGA